CTCGCCCCCACCCCCACAACACAAAATAACCCCCAAACACACCCAAAAATAGACTCCAGCCCACGCCAGAGCCCATCCTGAACCGTTTCCTCTTTGGTATCAAGGAGAGAGCTGGGACCTCGACACCCCCCGGAGACCCTCTGGCAGGGACAGGACAATGCCCATCCACACCCCCCAGGAGAGGCTCCAGTCCCCCCGGGACCGGGCGAGGAGGAGGAGGAGGAGGGAGGAAGTGGAGGCCGAGGGTTGTGCAAGACCCTGGCGTGGGAGTGAATCACGGCAGCCTGCAGACACCCCTGCTTCCCGCAGAAAGCAGGAAGGAGCCGGGGAACGCTTCCCCTTTCCCCCCGGCACCCTGTCCCAGCGCACCCCAAGGTGGGGGGGCCAGAGTATGGTGACATCCCTCACCCCCCGGCACCAGTGCCGGGCCCCCCCCCCGCCCCGCGCTCTCTCCGTAACATGCCAACACTAAAACAAGTCGCTCTGTAAACTTGGAGGGGTTTTCCTTCCTTTTTTTTTTTTGTTGTGTTTTTTTTTTTCTTTTTTTTCCCTTTTTTTATATAAAAAGAAGACACGTGGGTGAGGGGCGGGGGAGGAGGCAGGGTGCTGTCACAGCCCTCCCGGACCCCCACGCCTGCCCGTGGCGGTGGCTCTGGCATGATACATTCGCATGTGATGGGGTATTTGCACTCCGTGGAGGTGAATACTGGCAGAGGAGCGGCCCGGGGGGGAGCTGCTGGGGACAGCATCCGTCCGTCCGTCCATCCCAGGGACAGGGAAGAGTATTGTTTTGGTTACACTGCAACAGTCCAGACTCCTCCAAACCTCAGCACCTGGGCCCACACAGCCTCTGCTCCCCGCAGGGGCCCCCCCCCCCCCCAGGAGGAGCGCAGGGGTCGTGGCAGCCAGCGCAGGCCCAATCCTTGTTTCTGGCAGCGAGAGGTACACGGGCGGCATCCCACCATCTGCATCCCCATCGCTTACTGCCTCCAGCCTTCCACCAGCCCCTTCCACGGCACCGCATCGAGCTTGGCCCCGGGTCGCTGCCCATGCAGGAAGGTTGGGCTGGCCAAACCCCCCTGCTCTTGCCTGTGGCCGCCATCCCCAGAGCTCAAAGCAGCCAAAACCCCTTTGCTGATCTCAGATCCGGCATCTGTCCGTGATGTTCGAGGACTTGTGCTTGCTTCTGTTTCCTCCACCTCTTGGTTCCCTTTTCTTATGTTTTGGCTGTAAAATGCTCCGATCTGCTCATCCTGCAGGAAATTTCTCATCCGTGCGGTGCTGCCCTTCCCTGGGGTGGGATGTGCCGCCTGCTCTGCCCCGCAGGGTGCTGCGCGGGAAGCCGGGGGTGAAGCCACAGACATGGCACAAGTTTGGCCTTAGCCCTCCCCTTGTAAGGAAGAGGCAGCACCGCGGGGGGCCAGGGGGGACGTTATGGGCGGCCGGGCTGCGGCTCTGCGCCAGGAGCAGGCCGGCATGGGGGCACCGTGGCACAGCTGCCATCTCGCCCGGCACCGGTGACCAGCTGGTGTCTGTGCCTGTGTTCGCTGGTGGGTTTAAAGGATCCGGCTGTCCCTTAACTCCCGTTGGAGGTCCTGGGTGGTGACGCTGTCCCGGCTCTTCCCACCCCAGTTCCCACACTGTGGGGGACGATCCTGCCCCAGTGTCTTGGACGGGCTGGGGGACAGTGTCACGTGGGGACGGTGGCTCCTGCAGACACGCGGCAGCTGCAGCCACCGAACTAAGCTGTGTCCTCGCCTCATCTTCAGTTCCCAGGTGGGATTGTTGTGCTGCGGAGCACGGAGGGGATTTAATGAAGCCCTGGGTGATGGGCTCGGCGGGAGAGAGCCCTCGGGATCGGCACGGCTGGCTGGCATTGCTGCCATCGCAGGGCTGGTGGGTGAAGGTAACTGATGGGGAAACTGAGGCACGGCTGGTGCATGGAGTTGCTCTGAGAGCTGCCGGGGCTGGGAGCAGGGCAGGGCATTTCGGATCCCGTGGCCCATCCGGTGCCTCGGCAGCATTCTGGGCGGGCTGCGGGGAAGCTGTGTCGCAAGAGCCTAAAAATAAAAGGAGCTGTTGGCCGAGGTTGTGCAACAAGCGTGTGCGTCCTGCGCCGCGCGGGAGTTCGGCGGCTTTGGCGGCAAAGCCTGGGTGTGCGCGGCCGGATCCTGGCACCGGGCCCAGGAAATGCCGGTATCCGAAGGGCTGGGGGCTGCCAGGTTTTCCCCCCTCTTTGTCCCCTTCTTGTGCTGCCCGCAAACGCCGGGACTGCCATGGCTGGGGGGTGCTGGTGGGTGCCCATGAAGGTCTGGGGACAAGGGGGCTGAGCCGGGCTGCGGTGGGCAGGTGGGCAGGATGGGTGTCCCCGTGTTGGCACCCTGAGCAATTCATTGGGGGGGTCCGGAGCCCAGGGGGCTGTGGGGACCCTCCCCATGCGCCCTCCAGCACGCCCGCGAGGCAGCGGTCGTTACCCATTGCGCAGGTGGGGAAACTGAGGCATGGGCATGCCACCAGGGAGGCACCCTGCACGAGGGCTCTGGGGGGGGTGCTGGTGTCACACACGGGGTGCCCATTG